GCAAGTGCTCCAGATGCTGTGAGCTCCAGTTTTAATAAATTCACCCCCCTCCCTCACGGAATTTTGTGAATGTATGGGCACATTTGTTTTACCCCATGGTGCCCAGAAGCACAGTGGTATGTGTAGGAGCCGAAACACTGCAAGGTAAGAATAGTATACTTTGAAGTTGCCCTCCACACACAGCACCCAGCTTTTTAATAATTTACATACCCAATGCATTGTTTAACTTACTAATTTTTCCCAGAGTTGTAGTCCAAATCAAGAGAGTAGATGAGAGATGACACTCAAATACAGTATATCTTTCTGCTATATCTTTCTGTGTCCTTACGTGTCACTAATCTACTAACTGACATATCTGTCTGGATGTCACAACACTTCCTAAAATAAAACTCAACCTTTCAAAAACTGAGCTCATGATATTTCCTCCCGCCCTTGCACCTTCCCCCAACATTTTGGTTGAGATTGATAACACAACTATCCATACCCCCCCATGGCAAGGTCCTAGGTGTCATCCTTGACTCGGGCCTCACCTTTCCTCCCCACATCCACATCACTATCCAAATCCTGCCGACTTCATGTGCGTAACATCTCCAAAATACGCCCCTTCCTCACCAAAGAAACCGCTAAATTACTCATCCACTCCCTTGTTATCTCTCGTCTGGACTATTGTAACTCCCTCCTCATTGGCCTACCTCTACACAGGCTATCCCCCTTCAGTCTATCATGAATGCAGCTGCTAGACACATCCACCTGACCAACCGCTCAGTGTCTGCAACCCCCCTCTGTCAATCCCTGCACTGGCTTCCAATAGCCCAAAGGATAAAATTCAGAATATTAACGACTTGCAAAGCAATCCACAACTCTGCCCCCGGATATATCTCCAACCTTTTCTCAAAGTATTGCCCTAACCGTCCCCTCCGCTCTTCACAAGACCTCCTGCTTTCCAGGTCCCTTGTCAACTCCTCCCATGCTCCCCTCCAGGACTTCTCTAAAGTCACTCCCATCTGGAACTCTTAATCCCAACCTGTCCGTCCATCTCCTACTCTGATTGCCTTTAGGCGATGCCTTAAGACTCATCTCTTCGGGGAAGCCTATCCCACCTCAACCTAACCGCTCAAGCTTCACGTTCTCAGGGCCTGTTCACACGACGTCCGTTTTGTGTGCTGACCTGATCCGTACGCTGCTGCACTCAAAATGCATCCCAATGTACCCCTATGTGTTTTATGGGCTACAGTTCTCACGTGCGCAGTCCATTCAGCTTACGACAGAAAAAATACTGCATGTCACATTTTGTCCGGTCCGGAAACGCACGAAACGAAAACGCAACGCAGCCAAGGAAAAAAATAAAAATGGTATTCTTGCTCCACTTATTATGATGTTACCAACGATAGACAGACAGGTTGGGGTAGAGGTAACGACATGAACTGCAAACATTTGGAACATGCCCATTACCTTTCCATGGACATACGAGTAAAGGAAAAAATTTTTATCTGGGTGAGCTCGCAAATCCTCATACAAACTCCAGAACTGACCCTTGGAGTCCCGGAGCCTCAAGATCGGGTGTACCCAATAACAACGTCTCCTGCAAGCTCGTTCTCTGCAGATTGCTGTAGCCAGCACCATCAACATGCCTGCAAACATGTGATACATGTCTGATCACCAGCTTTACATACACAAAGGGAAGTAGATGTTCCGAGAGGGCGGAAGTGACCTCAGAGGCTGAATCTGCATACTGACAGCCCCGCGGCTTGGGGGGAAAAATAAAAAATGAACTGTCAGCATCCGGACCGAAAACGCATCAAAAACGCACTGCATCAGCAGCTCCACGTCTGCTGATCAGGACCTGATCTCATGTTAACAGGCCCTCAAACAATCATCCCCACACCGCTACCTCCTCATGTATCACTGGTCCCTCCCTTTTAGATTGTAAGCCCTCACGGGCAGGGCCCTCCTTCCATAGATATAACGGAGAAGTGAGTTTAGTCACCCCAGGACAGGAAGTCTCTTATTTGCAGGATTATCAGATGAAAGTAAAGGGGGAAAGGCTGAGAAAGAAAATTAATGCAGCCAACTCATCTAAGGCCTGTAAAATGTGTTATATTTTTATGTATAATTTTAATGTATTTATGGGTGAGAGGTTTACATGCACTTTAAGATCACACCTATATCTTTATGTAGGATTAACTGCATTAAGCTGGCCATACACCTATAGATGCCCAAAGTGTTGCTCGCCTCTGGCATCTGATCAGAGCCATCTTAAAGTCACAAATGTTTCCCTAGCCCCCCCCATGCTGGTGTCCCACGGTGTCTGCACAACATGCACACTCCCGGCTGCGTGCATTCACTTACACGGAGTCTCTTCCATCAGCCGAAGATCTGCAGTAGAGCGCATGAGCCCACCCCTTCATCCTGCTCGGCCGCTCGAGAGTCTTCAGGTGGAAGCCAGCGGCAGCGACACAGGTAAGCTTTTACCTTTTTTGGTAACTTTTTTTATATTTATGCATAGATCTACTGCTTGCTAGCAGTAGATCTATGCAACCCCCCCCCCCCCCCCCCAAAAAAGGTTTTTTTTAGGGATCGCTCCAGGTGCGGCATCTCAGTATACCGCGAGCTGTAGCTTGCGGTATACTGAGCTTAGGGTAACGGGAGGACGCTAGTTTGTGTCCTCCCGTTACCCTAAGGAGAACTATGGGGAAACCCACTGACCCCATAGTTCTCCTTTAATATTGCCTACAAGCTTCTCCCTCCTAAAGAAGCCTGTAAGGCAAAACCCGTAGAGATGAGACACGAAGAAGCAAACCACCCTTACGTCTGCCCAGGCTCTGCACAAATACTTATATTGTGTACAGTACAGAAATGGACAGTTATACCCATCCAAACATTTCATTTATTGTATTATTGAGTGGACACCAAGGGAATGGTACCTCCTGTGAGACGTTTAAATGGAGGCACAGTTTTGTGTTCGGTTATGGATTTTTAGATTTGAATAGCCTCCTGAAGAAGCCACACTGAAATCTCATGCATTGGTATTAGCTCTCTCTAAGCTACAGAACACCTCCTCCCTATGTATGGCAATGAGGAGAGGGGGAGGTGTTATGTAGCCCAAACTAGGGTGACAACAGTACCCTTCCATACAGCACAGTGAATGAGCAATGGCACCCTAGGAGAGACGTGTGTTACTGGCAAGATTACTGGGTGAAAATAAAAGGGAAAAGGCAATGAAAAAACAAATACAGCCACATGAAAGACCTGCGAAGCTGCAACATATTACATTTTTTTCCTTGGGTTTAGATACAACTTATAGCTCATGCAGACTGAACAGTACCTTCTTTTTTCTTTGCACAGGACCTTTCTGGCAGCACAGACACCAGTATTGAGTGCATGGGCCCTTAGGGTAGTGGTTGTCAACGTACCCGAGGTGTGGCCCCTGACACCATCAAATATCTATATTGAGAGAGAGAGAGAGAGACTGTACACATACCAGAGTGGATGGGCAGAGACTGGGAACATGCTTCAGGTTTGGCTGGGGAATGACAGGGGCATGTTACATGTGACTAACAGACATCACCACTATGGGAGCAAGCCCACTCCTGGAGTCACACAAGTACCAGGGGGATGCATGTGGCCCTTGGCAACTGAAGCCAAAACTTTTGGAATGAGTGGAGAGGGATTAGAACACCCGTCAGGTTTTTATTGCCGTGTCTCCATTAGAGAGATTCACCCTCCATGTTTGCCCTGGTGCCCGTTATGACTAAACATGAAAGGAAAGCCCAAATGTTGGGTTGTCACCCAAACAGATGGGGACACTAGTTATGGTGACCACCAGCGTTTCCCTAACTGTGGAGGGATTTCCTCTCACTTCCTGATGCAGCTACTGAACAGGAAATGAAGGGAAATCTGTCCAATGGAACATAGACAGCAAAAAAAAGCTGAAAGGGGTTATAACCCTCCCCTACTGTATGCAAAACCAAAACAAGGTTTTGGCTTCAGTAAAGTATAAATGGTACCGTAGGAACAGGCAAGTTAGGACAGAGGTGGGCAAACTCAGGCCCTCCAGCTGTGGTGAAACTACAAATCCCATGATGCATCTGTCCCTGTGAGAATCTTTCAATGCCTCATGGGATTTGCAGTCCCACAACAGCCGAGTTAGAACATGGGGGATGTTTGCACCAAGAGGGTCAGCGCCAGATTTGATGGACCGCAAATAAAAAAAATAAAAACTTACCAGAAGACATGGAAGCTTATCTTGTGAGGAATAAAGTAAATATAAAATGTTTGCGGAAAAAAAATAACATGAAAGTGATTAAATTACAGTGAATCCACTAGCCCCTGATTGTGTTGAATACATAAATGAATGATGAGATGCAATTGTATCAGTCTCTGTGATCACCTCCCCCACCCTCTCAGCACATGATTATGAATGAGCCGGGCGATTCCTAGCCTATGAATAAAATGAAAGGTGCCATGTTATACCGCATACCCCTTTGGTTCAGCCGCCCCTCCGGGCTATATGACTCTATAATTAGCGAAGTTCCCAAACTTTGGCGGGGTCTTTCCCGTCCACCAGTGCCGCCCCTTCCCTCCTGAATAACAAAGCCAGTGGCGCGCAGTGCCCAATATAACCGCCCCGCCGTCAAGCCGGCCGTGTCCAGGTGCGGCGCCCAGACAAGGTGAAGGCGGGAGCGACACTGCAGAGCGCGCTAAGCTTTTACACCTACCCTCAACAGGCGGGAGGGGCGGGGCCGCACAGCAAATCTCATTGGTCCAAGTTGACTGCTCGCGCTTCGGATTGGTCGGCGGCAAGTGTCACGTATCAGGGCGCCAGAATAGAAGCTGTAGCGGGATGTGCAGAGTAGTGAGAAAGTTCCATCGCATACACTTATCATTCATAACGCCGATCGGTCCCCGGCAATGTCTGCTCCCTTCATGTTTTTGTACACTACTGGATTGTAACTGATCAATAATATCCTGTACGAGTCCATTCATTCCTTTTATGGTGTCTATCGCCTGGTCCTGACTGCAGTCCATTCATCTCATGGTCCAAGACAGAGGTAAGCTTGCATGTATCTGTACATAATTCGGTGGTGATGATGATGGGGATTTTGTAAATATATTCTGCCGTTGTTGCCAGTTGTTTCGTATATTGTAGATCGGCATTCCTCAGCACTTGTTGCTGTGCTGGATTTTCCCTCCATTGTAGCCGAGAGGGGGGCACGTCTCAGCCATTGGCAGCACTGAGAGGGTTAATATTAGTCAGCAGATCTTCCTGATGTGTAGTCAGACAGTGTCACGTTACACCCCTGAGTGCGGCTTCCCGGGATCGGAGCATTTCCTTTGCGCCAAAATGTACACAAGTCCCGGTCAGATCGGCGCCCAAAGTCTGCACACATCTGGAAGGTGGGGGAGATCACCCCCCTCCTCCTTTTTATTATTGTCCTCTTATACCAGGGTGCAGATTACCCCTGCTTAATATTATCCCCTTACACCAGGGTGCGGGTCACCCCTACTTATTATCTTATACCAGGGTGCAGATCACCCCTACTTATTATCTTATACCAGGGTGCCGATCACCCCTACTTGTCATTGTCCCCTTATACCATGGTGCTGATCACCCCTACCTGTCATTGTCCCCTTATACCAGGGTGCCGATCACCCCTACTTGTCATTGTCCCCTTATACCAGGGTACCGATCACCCCTACTTGTCATTGTCCCCTTATACCAGGGTGCCGATCACCCCTACTTGTCATTGTCCCCTTATACCAGGGTGCCGATCACCCCTACTTGTCATTGTCCCCTTATACCAGGGTGCCGATCACCCCTACTTGTCATTGTCCCCTAATACCAGGGTGCAGATCACCCCTACTTGTCATTGTCCCCTTATACCAGGGTGCAGATCACCCCTACTTGTCATTGTCCCCTTATACCAGGGTGCAGATCACCCCTACTTGTCATTGTCCCCTTATACCAGGGTGCAGATCACCCCTACTTGTCATTGTCCCCTTATACCAGGGTGCAGATCACCCCTAGTTATCATTGTCCTCTAATCGGAGGGTGCAGATCGCCCCCAGTTATCATTGTCCTCTAATCGGAGGGTGCGGATCGCCCCCTCTTAATATTGTCCCCTTTGTAGAAGAGTGCGGATCGCCCCACTTATTATTGTTCCCTTATAGGAGGGTGCGACTCACCCTTGCCTATTGTTTCTTTTATAGAAGGGTGCTTGAGATCACCTCCCTTTTTCTCATTGTTCCGTTACACAAGGACTCACTTGAGGGTGCAGATCACCCCTTCTTCTGATTGTCCTATTATACAAGGTTCGTGATAATGGGTGCTGATCACCCCTTCTTATTGTCCATCATACCAGGTCCCTAATATAGGTTGCAGGAGATTACCCTTTCTTGTTGTCCCATCATAGGAAGATACTGAGCAGGCTGCAAGACCCTCTAATCACACGTTTCTATTTTTAGACATGGAGATCGCCAGCTGCCTGACACTCAAAGATCTGGCCAGCACTAAGAAAAGTAAAGGAGACCTAGAGAAAGATGGCAGGAGCGCGCACAAGGTAACACCATCATTTAATTACTTTATTTTTAACATCACTTAGTACTTTTTACAGTACTAGGCAATTTAGGAGAGGTGGAGATCTACTTCAAAAAAAGGAAGCGATCAAAGATCACCAGGGCGCAGAATGCTTTTTTTTTTTTTTTTAAAGTGTAAAGGTTAAAAAAAAGTAACTATAAGGGGCAAGACTTTACTGTGTAGCAGTAATGGTGTAGAGGATGAGAGTACAAGGCAGTAACTTTGGAATTTCACTAGAAGTAAAGGGACGCAAAGTCATTATAGTAAACCACCGTTTGCAGTCAGTTATAAATATGTGACAATATTAATAAGAGTTTCATGTGTTCCTAAAATAGGAAATTATCACGTGATTTGACAAAGTGCCAGTGTTTAGTCCCTGTTCACAATCGTGTGATTTAAAGCATTTTGGTCGCCAGAACACCATAAGGAATCCTGTTATTATCGATGGAGCCCGTTCAAATCTGCCTTGAGCAGCAGTGTGACTTTGAAAAGGGTCCAGGTTCTTCTTTTGGTGCTACATAGTGATGGGAATTTACAAAGACTGAAGCAGCTGTGCATGGCAACCAATAATCTTCTAGCTTCATTTTCAACGCTTATCTGAACAAGCTGATGGTAGAAGCAGATTGGTTACTATGCACAGCTGCTCCAGTTTTAGTAAATTTCGCCCAGAGTGGCTTATTGGGCCCATAGAATTCAAAGGGAGTGCAAAAAAATGCATGAACCCTACAATTTTCTGCATTTTAGCACATGACAACAAACCTGCACCCATCCCCAGTAATTCATACTTGTATTTCAACTTATAACACATGAAAATGTAGACACACAGGTGTGAACAGAGACGTACCATGGAGGTATATGTGTTCTCTTTGGCGCATCTGAGTTTAGAGACTGTAGTTGGCATATGAAAGCCCGTTTCTGGGATGGCGTGGCTTTCTATGGCTTGTGAGGGCCAAAGATTATTCCCTGCAATGTCCATAAAATATGTCACTCAATAGAGCTGGCTTCTAGTCAGGCAATAGTGCATGACATGCCATGCGTCCATAGTTGCAGCCAAAGGAAGCAGCGCTGTGTTGGGTAGCCCTGTCTCACACAGCTTAAGAGAGCAATGGGGGAGGCTGTGGTAGCTCTATGCCAAACAGTTTCTGTAGTGGAGCAAAAGGGGCAGCGGGGCCACAATAAACCTATTGCCAACCCCCGCCATAAAGCTTGCTTTTGTAACGTTTAGTATACAGATTTTTTTTCAACCGTTAGCTTGCATATACCTTTTTAAAATGCTCTACATTGTTGGAAATTATCTTGTATGTGTTAGTAAGAGCTCCCAAGTCTCAGACCATCCTATTATCAGTTTTGGATTATTCTGCTACAAGGCCTATGTGTATCAAGCAATGTACCAGTATTGGGTTATTGTACCCCACCCAATGCTTGGCCCTTGTATAGACAACTCTGTTCAAGATGGATATGAAAGCATGTCTGGGTAGCACAGTTCTAACCCTGAAAATCATTGCTTTAGATATTTAAACACTTATAACCAGATATACAAGCTATGATTTTGGCCACCAAAGAGAAACAAGCTAATTTTATAGTTTTATTTTAAAGTATATTTTTCTTCTTGTCCATTTTACATTTTGGATTTTTATTAATTTCTAGGAGAATATGTATGACAGATTCCGAATAAGTCCAAGAATACCACTGAAAGGAGAGCCCATTGATCTGTCAAAACAAAAGGGTCTCACCCCAGAGAAATTTCCCATCACCCCTGTGAAAGCAGTGGACCGACCTCTTGCAGACCCATGGACACCCACCGCCAACCTAAAGATGCTTATTAGTGTTGCCAGTCCAGAAATCCGAGATCGGGAAAAGAAGAAAGAACTCTTCCGCCCAATAGAAAACAATGAGCCAGAGGACATTGAGCCCGATGCCCAACAGGTACAAAACTGCCGAAGAAACAGGTTTTTGCCAGTTCAGTTATTGCATTCATCTAATATGTACTGACCGCAAATAGAAAGGCATGGTCCCAAAGAAACACCACTTTTGTAAAAGAGGTGTTCCATTTTTGGGGGCCACTCTTCAGGCAAGCTTTTTAATATTCATGCATAAAGCAGCTTGTATAGTGTTTAGCCAAACATTTTTAATATTTGTTTCACATGGAAAGTGTTGGTCTTTCTTGAGCAATCTAAACATTTAATTTGAGTGTGATGTTTTTCATTCAGGTGGTTAAAGAATATATTTAAAGCCGATCTCCAGGGGCAAAAAATCTCCTTGCAGTGAGGCCACCTTTGCACTGCAAGACTTAAATTCCACAGACTCAAAGACCAGTACCCGCAGCCTCTAAAAACCAAACCCCCTCCCACGCTCCAGCTGTTAGAGGCTCTCTGACATCATTGAGTGCAATGCAGGATCCATAGTCCACAAGCCAGAGTGTAGGGCTTGTCCCAGTAGCCCCTTCTACCCAGTAGTGTAGGGTTTACCCAGACACCCTAGACTGAAACCAGCAGTTACCTCTTACAATGTGTGGGCATCCCCACTTGAAGGGTAGTTTTTGTTTCTTTGCAGGTTTTTTTTTCGTCTTATTTATTTATTTCTCGTCAGTTTGAGGCAACAGATGACATGGATGATTTGGAGAAGAGACCAAGTAGAAAACAAAAGAGTCTGGGGCTTCTGTGTCAAAAGTTTTTGGCTCGATATCCAAGCTACCCTCTTTCCACGGAGAAAGCTACCATCTCTTTGGATGAAGCTGCTTCAAGCCTTGGTAGGAGTAACCTTCAGTAAACATCTGTTATCATACACTTGTATACATACATAAGTATTCTTGGTTTTGGCAATGTTGTATTTTTTGCTGGAGAGGGGAAAGTCTGGATAAGTAACAATATATGGTAGAATTGCTAAGGGGTACAGGGTCTCGTACAGTACAGAGGGATTATTGCACAATGCTTATCAGATATTGTTATATTATAGATGCAGACTGTGCTGGAGTGTGGTACAGTGTTGGGTTCTGTATAACATATATCACATGGGGGTATGACCTGAAAATAATTCCGTCATTTACTTCTCATCACTAGGAGTGGAGCGGAGACGGATCTATGACATAGTAAACGTCTTGGAGTCCCTGCACTTGGTGAGCCGTGTGGCAAAGAACCAATACTGCTGGCATGGACAGCACAACTTAAAAGACACCTTAAAAAACCTGCAGCGGGAGGGGGAAAGGCAGAATTACAGCGCCCAAATTGCCACGTTCCAGCACAAGGATTTCGCAATGGAGCCGAAGAAACACTGTTCCTTGATAAACCAGGGCTCGCCTTCATTGCATTTGTCTGAGGTGGACTACCCATCTGGTGAGTGAAGAATGGGTGACTGTCATTTATTTGTTGCTAATATTTGTCTATCTGTGTCATTGTTTTGTACATTGTTTACAAAGCAACAACACCACTGCTGCTTTTTTTAAAGGAGAACTATGGGGTCAGGGCTTTTCCCCATAGTTCTCCTTAGGACACAAACTAGCGTCCTCCCGTCACCCTAGGCTCAGTATACCGCAAGCTGTAGCTTGCGGTATACTGAGACGCCGGAGCGGATCCCAACATCAATGTCGAGATTCACCTAGCTGCGTGAGTGACAGCTGGCTCGGCCTATCTAGAGGCAGAGCCAGCTGTACCCTCCCCTGTCCGTTCCGCCAGTCAGCGCTGGTGGATTGGGGAGGGGGGGAATCCATCCCATGTCACGGAAGAGAGCCGTGACAGGATCGAGAAGTGAGCGAACACTGGCATGTGTTCGCTCACCTCCCGATCTACTGAGCCGACCTGTGACAGTCTCATTGTCACAGGTCGGCTAGAACTATGAGGTGAGTGGAAATCACTCACCTCATAGTTCTCCTCTTAATGTCTACATACAGGGGCCTAACAGTCTGACATCCCCTACTGTAATTGGCATGCTATGAATGTTGAACACTAAACTCTGACAGTCTGATCATAGTTCAGTAAGATAAATTGACCAGCCTATGTTTGTTTTACCCTACGCTCACCTCAATTGCAGGTCCGTAGGGGTGCGGGTGAGCGGATTCATACGCCGCCGGAATGGATCCTGTATGCGTCCCGGCCAGAAAACCCGCACCCCTACGGACCTGCAATTGAGGTGAGCGTAGGGAGGCGTACGGCCGCGTAGCCCCATAGAGAAGGACGGGGGTTGCGTACTAATCCAACGAAGCACTGATCATAGTTCAGTAAGATAAATTGACCAGCCTATGTTTGTTTTACCCTACGCTCACCTCAATTGCAGGTCCGTAGGGGTGCGGGTGAGCGGATTCATACGCCGCCGGAATGGATCCTGTATGCGTCCCGGCCAGAAAACCCGCACCCCTACGGACCTGCAATTGAGGTGAGCGTAGGGAGGCGTACGGCCGCGTAGCCCCATAGAGAAGGACGGGGGTTGCGTACTAATCACACGCAGCACCTGTCCTTCCCGGCAGCTGCTTGGTACGGCCCCTCAAGGAGCTGTACGTGCAGGCCGATTCGTGTGTGAATGGGGCCTTACTGGGAAAAATGTTATAAAATTGCTATATTTTGTGCATGGCTCTTAGTACATTCACATACTTCATTATAATGGTTTAAATTGGGCTTTTAGCAGTGAATCCAAAGAATGCCGCTATTAAAGTGACAGGGTAACCTGCCTTTCTGGCAGTCCGTGTGTTGAAACCCCAGCACTTTGCTACTCTTTTGCTGCTGTTGGTATTAAACTCTTCCAGGTAGATAGAATGCCTGGAAGAGTTTACCTCCCACTGGCTGGTAGGCCTTGTAGTGACGTATGAGCCCGCTAGAGGAACTTCAGCATGGAGCAGGTATTCATACACCTAGGAGTGTGTAATATAGTGCTAGAGTTTCAACATAGGCCGCCAGAAAGGTATGGATACCTGCTCTTCTTTTACAGGCTCAGCTTACTGTGCAAGTGGCCTGGAGGTGACAGTGTCTGTACACCGAACCAATTGTTTTCCTCACTTCCCCAAAGATGATTTGATCCAACCATTCAAATACTGCTTATTTTATAACTCTTTTTCTGTCAAATTATTTATTTACTCTAGCATCAGCCAGCAGTCGCAAGGATAAATCACTGAGGATCATGAGCCAGAAGTTTGTCATGCTTTTCCTTGTATCAACCACCAAGATTATCACTCTTGAGATCGCAGCCAAAATCCTCATTGAGGAGAGTCAAGATGTTTCTGATCACAGCAAATTTAAAAGTAAGCATTAATTTACCCATCCGAGTGTTTATATTTAGTATCCGCTTGTACTGCATGTATTCATCCCTTGTTTTCCTTCAGCCAAGGTACGACGTCTTTATGACATAGCTAATGTCCTGACTAGTCTTGGGCTAATTAAGAAAGTCCATGTAACAGAAGAGCGTGGAAGAAAGCCTGCATTCAAGTGGATTGGTCCTACTGATTTCAAAATGGAAGGTGGTAAGTGGGTTTTTTTTTTTCTTGTGTTCATTCTTGTCGTCCTCTTTCCTTATTACATATGTTAGACAGCCAGTAGAGATTACTCTAGATTCATTGTTGAGAAACCTGAAAGTTCTGTTTTTACAATATGTAGACCAGAAGATGGAAGCCACTACTACTACTCCGTTACCAGATTCTACAAGAGAAGGTTGTATTGCCACAAGTGATGGCAGCAAGCAGAGACTGCTACGTCATTCATCGTTTAACCACATTCAGGCTATCAATACTGTGAAAAGGAAGGTCTGCTCTGAGCCCTGTAGCCCCCACAAGTCTAAAAAAGGTAACTCTTGCTTTTCTAATAGAGCTGAATTTAAAACGACCCTGTCGGGTTTTGGAGAAAAGTATCCTGTCAAGAAACCTGCCTTTATTCTTACCTGTCCTGTGGCGGGTTTGCAGGGACTTCACCCTATTGCAGAGCTCCCGGTTATCACCTTATTCGACACCTTGGCTGGTTGAATAGCAGCTTCCTTCCTTGCAGGACACAATATGATGCAGGTGTCATAGGAAGGAAACATAGCAGCCTACAGGGAACATGCTATTTCACACAACTGCCAGTGTGGAATTGGACCTGGGACAGCTCTGCTGCAGAACAAAGATTCTGCAAACAGGTCAACAAAAAGATCAATGTAAAGCGGTTTGCTTCATGTGGTGTTGCTTTCTACACGTGTGTGTTTGAACCATAGCAAAAGATTTTTCGTGTCTTCTGCTTCTAGGTTTTGCCACCTGAGCAGTTTACTCTGCTTTTGTGTTTTTTTTATTTTGTACCCAACATTTTCTTTTTCTAGATATTTATAGAAAATGTTTTTTGTATTTTTTTTTTTTTAGTTTCTGTGGAGGGCACCGATACTTATTCATCAAAGATGGCACATTTAGCTGCTATCTGCAGACAGAAGATTGAAGAAGACTGCAAGTAAGTTGAATAATATGTTGTGAATATCTTTTAAGGGATAGTAACATTGGACATAGACTGAGGGCAGTCAGATTTGTATGTACAACCTGATTACCCTTGAGTGTCAGCATCTTCAAACGGGGTCCTAAAAATAAATGTAAAACTTCAGAATCTATTCATGTTTAGCCTGTGCAGAGGGGAGGGGTAGGAGCACTGCAGACGCCTCTAAAGCCAGCTTATTAGTTGAAACGCTAGTGTGTGCCTGTGATTTTCTCACATCCCAGAGTGCTATTTTCCCTAGTTAGCTGCAGGTATTTTAGATATTAGATCATCCAGGTTAAACTGACCCTTTTTCTTTAAGCACATTGTAGCTTCTGATAAGCTCCTTATTAGCCTGAAATGACTGCTGACTATTAGCTGCAGTTAATATACTTTTATGACGGTAGTAGCTCATATATGTAAAGTTTTTGGTTTACCAATCCTTTAACAGGCACCTGTACTTTGTTCAGGCACGTGTTTTCTTTAAGCTGAATAGTATAACATGACAGGGATTTAGTTTTCTTTAACCAGTTGACATCCGCGGTGTTAAACCCCCTTCCCATCCAGGCCATTTTTCAGTATTCAGCGCTGCGGTACTTTAACTGACATTTATTCCGTCATGCAGCGCTGTACTGAAATTAATTTTATACCCTACTGGATCATTTTGTGTTTTATTCTTCATTATTTTTAATTTTTTTGTTTTTATTTCCACAATGTCTTTCAGGAACCAGATGGTTACTACAGATAAACTGTCCAATGGGAACCTTGGTCCTTTGCCATTCTCAGTTGTTGTCCCTGTACCTGTGGGTTCTGAGTATTGTGTTAGGCACCGTGTTGATCAGGAGAGCTCTGTTCCTCAGAATGATATGAGTACACTAAAGTTTATAACCCCCTCTAACTTGGACCACAGTAGTCATGGATTTCCACCTAACCAGCCATACATGTATGTTCCGTCCACATCTGTCTTAATGTTCTGTGGCAATCCTCCTGGGGAGAAAGGTTTGGATACACATCGCAGAGAAGACCGTACGTCTCCAACTTCAGATCTAAGCAGCATGCCTGAAAGCAGCCAACCAGCCAAGAGACAAATGACCAGCAGTAGTGATGATGCCCCCCTTTCTTTGGTTGTACCAAAGGTAGGTATAAATACAGTTCTGTGAGTGTCCTACTATACCATGCTAATGTGTTTTTGTGCACTTATTTGGCCCCGTTCACACCTGACCGTTTTGTAGCGCGTCCTACGCTCGACGAACGCGCTACAAAACGGTCAAAAAAATAAATAGCATTGTAGTCAATGCCCTCGTTCCCACCTAGGCGTATTTCCGCCCGTCCCTAACGCCCTACAAAACGGCCCACGCCTGAAAAGGTCCCGGGACTACTTAGGGCCGTTTTGTAGGGCGTTTTCCATTGGGATACAGCCAAGTAGCCTTTGGAATCGCGCAACTTTTTTACCGCGAATCGCGGTAAAAAAAAACGCGTGACAGACGCGCATATTACAATACGCCTAGGTGTGAATGGGCCCTTTATGACTTGCATTCTGGGTATTAATGCCAAATGTAAATGTTGTTTTTATTTTTTTTTAGAACATCTGGACACCTGAGACACCTTTTTATGATACCAGTATTCAGCATAAATCACCAGAGTGTTATGAAGAGGGAAAACATTTAGACTCCACTCATGCTGTACAGAAGGTGTTCCAGCCAAATGGCATTCAACATGGCTTAAATACCAAAGATGAGACCCTGCAAGCAAGTCTTAACCCAACTGCACCACCACAGTATTTTTATCTTCCCTCAACAGCTGGTAAGTTATTTTCGTGTGTGTTATTTTTTTTTTTGATTTTTTTTTTTCATTGTGTGAGTAGCTTAATAGAGTACAGCCAAAAAATAAAAGAAATACTTTATGCAGGATGCCTCATTATTGTTTTACCCAACTTCGTTCTAGTCGTGTGTCATATTGCAGTCTGTTTTTGTTAAGCTTTTAAAGTCATGTATAAGGATGAGTTTCAATATTTCATTTATTTTCATAATTTTGTTTAATAATATATATATATTTTTTTTTTAATAGGATTAAATGGTTT